CCCCCCCCCCCCCCCCCCTTCCTTTTCAAAGCCTGCTGTGATAGTTCATTTAATAAATTGCCATAGATAAATTTCAGAACTGATTTCGCCAAATCTACTTAGACACGTAAGGGAAAAGGAAAGAAAAAGAAAAATATGGCATGTATTTCCTGATGCACATCTATTGCTAAGCAGGTATGGTGTAAGTGGTTTTCCTACATTAAAATTCTTCCCAAAGAACAATAAAGCTGGTGAAGATTACGATGGTGGACGAGATTTAGATGAATTTGTTAGTTTCATCAATGAGAAGTGTGGAACTAGCCGTGATGCAAAAGGACAATTCACAAATAAGGTTTGTTGCTAAATTAACAGATTTTCTCCATGGGTACTTTTACTGGCTTCTAATGTGCCATTTTATCAACCTAGGCTGGTATAGTTGAGGCTCTCGATAGCTTAGTGAAAGAGTTTGTAAGTGCATCAAGTGAGGAGAAAAAAGCTGTATTCAGTCGACTGGAGGCAGAAGCCGAGAAGTTGAAGGGTTCCAATGCAAGGTTTTCACCAAACCTTATCGTACTTTCATCGTTCATATTAGTAACCTGACCACATAGTAATTGGGGTAGTTGGTGAAAGTTGTGATCTGACTTGCCCATCTATATTATTATACCCGTATTTTCGTATTTCATCTCTCCTTACTTTTCTTTAGATATGGGAAGCTCTATGTGAAAGCTGCCAAGAGCTGCTTGGAAAGAGGTGCTGAATATGCTAAGAATGAGATTCAGCGGTTGGAACGCATGCTTGCCAAGGTAAACTATCACATACTCTTTTGTCTAATGCTTCGTAACCATCATTTTATAATTTTTTTTTCCTGTTCTCTCTGCCCGCCTGCCTGTGTGTAAGTTAAATCATCAGTTTTCAGTTGATTATCTTCGGATGTATGACTTAACTCCCAAAATAATGACGCTATAGTCTTCAATAATTTTTTGATTACTTATTTTCCATTTAGTGGCTATATAACTGAATTATTGTTGTTAGATATCTTCATAATCTAGAAGTATCTGATCTCTCTCCCCACAAATATTTCTTGCAGTCAATTGCCCCGGCAAAGGCTGATGAGTTCACTTTGAAGAAGAATATTCTTTCTACCTTTGCTTCAGACCAGTGAGAAATTGCATTTTATCGACTTTGGTGGGTGTCCGCATATAACTTGTGGGAGTGGTTCTTCCCCGAGTGTTGTGGATCCATCTTCTTACTCCCAATTCTGCACGTCTTGCATCGCCAGAAGTATGATCGGAAGAATGAGAGTAAGTAGTTTGTTTTCATTCACGACTAGAAAAAACTATTTTTTTTTCCCACCAGTAGCTTTAATGTTATACTTACGTAGTGGAGTTGTCATAACTACGTCATCTTTTTTGGAAAGTAAAATGGAGCAAGTGATAGTTAATGCAAGATTCTTGGTTATGTGTTCTTCATTAGGTTTCATCCATGAAAAGATTAGACAACCTTATTACCAGTACTGTGGCATTGTTGGCTAAGACCTTGATAGTATGCATATGGCTTATCTTTGTCAATGTCGACTTTCCAATTCCCTATTGGACTCGTGTGCGCAATGTTTCGCCCGGCTTGGGTCGGGAGAGGACAGGAGATTTACATTTTCGTCCATTCCTTTGACCGGGGTGTGGTGAATGATATATCTTCAAACTGGGAGGGAGGACAGGATATACATATTTTTATTATCTTTTGAATTGGACCCTATTATTTTGTATTGAAAATAATTATAAAATGATCAACTCAAATTTCCTCTACGAGGCACGGTCGAGATCGATTTACACATCTAATAATGTTTCATGAAAACGATCGAATAACTAGAAGCACTACAAGCCAAAGAAAAGAAGCTTATTCAGTTCCCAAAACATTTTCTTTTGCTGTCTTTTAGCAGATTATAACCAAACACAAATAGGGTCCATCTGATCACCATGAATTTGCAATATGAGGATAGGCTGCAGATTCCAACAAAATTATCACTAGTAATAAATACTAAAAAGACACATAATCGGTCACAGAGGACCTTCTTGCAATTTGTATTACTATTGGAGCCTCCTTCACCCCTAACAAAAGGATTATTTCAGAGCTACTGTACATTAAGTGGGGTTTATTTAGTGCGCATTCACAGTGATCGGACCTCTGTTCATTCGGGGTGATCATGCCTCCGTTGGCGGGTAGCGATTGTGAGTTTCTACGTCAACACAAAAAAAGGACTATTCCACAGCATGTGGATTGTGTAACAAATTATTGGTTCAAGAATCTATCGTAAGTTAAAAAGTTTTCCAAATCTTACTAAAATCGTCGAGTAACCCTCGTAGTTGAGAAATAAATATTAACTTGATAAAGTTGAACCCGAAAAGGGCACGCGACGGTTTAATAGAGATTGTGCATCATAAAGAGGGTGAAGACCAACTTATTTCGTTGGTTCGTGTTCGAAGGTCGAGAATCAACTTGCTCCGGTGCAATTTTCAAATAATGGAGGAATCCTATGCAACCTTACTTAACACAGCTCACAACTAACAAGTACGGCCAAGTACCAACAAGTCATAGCTTTGCAACAGCTAATCGATTATGCACCCCATGTGTTTGTGAATATGACACAACCACAAGGGCCAATAGATAATATATTGTGTGTGTGTGTGTGTGTGTGAGAGAGAGAGAGAGAGAGAGAGAGGATGTAATGAACTTTGTTTTACTACAAGCAAAAGGGAGATGAAAACAAACTTTGCCGTAGTTTCCATGATTGGCAACTTCTCTTTTTCCATGCAAATAATAATAATAACAATAATCCCTAATCAATTAATGCAAACACATAAGCACTGAAAAACACGAACAAAATTTAAGAAACAAAATATATTCATACAAATCTAGCACTTAAGAACCCCATGTTCAAGAAACTAATACACATTTTCTTGAATATTTCATGTTTTACCTTGATGACACAGAGTTCAAAGCTCTAGCAAAGCCATTCATGGCACCAAAGCCCTTTGAACTGAATCCCAAACAGCCCAACAAACCTTGTCTATAAGGCAAAAATGTCTTCTTCCTCATCTCCTCTGCTTGTGCCCTATTTGCAGTGTAAAGCAATTCATGAGGAGATCGTGGCACCCTCCTTTTACCAATCCCATTTACTGCCCTGTTTTTCACCTCTTTTGTAACTTTTTTTGTGGCTCCGGCGTTGGAATTTACTACTTCTGGAGATGAATTTGATGCATTTTTCGCTTTGGGGTTGGAAATGGGCTTCTCCATTTTCTTATCTTTGACAGGCGAAAATGACAAGGAACCCCAAAATTTATGCCCGTTGTTTCTTCCTTCACTTTTGCTCCTATACAAGAACTCCTTCAAGAAAACCCACCTCCTTGAGCTCCTCCCAATTGAAGAAAACCTCGATGAAGATCCAGATTCACATGGCGTCGTATCATTCGACCCCGCTGGATCTTCTGTGTTTTTACACACTTCATTTTCCATCTTCATCTCATCGTTATTTTGTGCATTGTCATTTTCATGATCTAGAAACGAAGTCGTTCTCATAGGGGACATAGATCTAGTCCTCCTCCTTAATGATCCGGCCCGCAATTTCGATTCCCTTCCGCGACCAATTTTTTCCTCAGAAAATGAAGAATCATCAAGGTCGGACTGTTCAATCTCATCGGATTCATCCATGTCTATCAAAGGGGCCAAAAACTGGGGCCTACGGAGATGGCTAGAAAGCTTCATGGGTCGGATCTGGCCGTTCAGGAACAATTCATCAGCGGAGCTCATGGATCCCGGTGGCGCACCACTGTCGGCAAGCGGCGCCGAGAAATCAAACTCAAAAGAACACGCCGCCGTCGACGATTCAACCCCATACGAAGAAATGCTAGTACTTGAAAGCACAAAATGCATAGGACTAGCTGGGGCGCTATAGTAGAACCCTGCAAGGGGCGTACCGCGGCCTGGACTAGACGGTGCGCTAACATAAGGCGTGGAACAACAACTGTCAATGTCATCGGAAAATCCCAGAGAGGTGGCGGCGGAGGTGACATTTAGGGGGTCCTTCGAGGCAGAAGCGGAGGGGGTAGTGTGATTTTCTAGGTCGTCTTCCATAATTCTTTTTGGATAGAATGAAGGGACACAGTATGGTAGTGAGAATCGTGCAAAAATGGTGGAAAATGTGGATATCTGTGCTTGCTCTATAGAAGATGGAGATTTATATTGTCAATGCCACTGTTGTCTTTCTGTTTGATGGGATTGATACAGAGAACTATAACTACTAAGGTTGTTTTGTCAAATTTTATTATGAGCAAGAGATTAGGTTTGGAGAGAGGTTGTTGAGTCGTGGTCGGAAAATAGTGAAAATAATAAGAGCTTGTTTGGGAGGGATTAAAATCGGATTAAAATTAAAAATATAATCGTTATTGTTGACTTTTATTAGACGGGTGGGACTCAATAACGACTATATTTTCAATTTTAATTGGATTAAAATCACTTCCAAACAATCTCTAAAACAATTTTTGGATGAATTTATTCTTATTTTCTCAATTTTAAGTATAATTGAATTTTTTTTTTTTTTCAATTTCAAATTAAATTGGTCGGTTCAATCTAATTTTGAAAATATTATTAAAAACATGAAGTTACTAAAAGCATGTTTTGAAGCCCTTTTTATAAATGGTTTAAACTATAAACGGATATATATAAGTAATGAATAAGTGAATTTTACTAAATACGTGATTTGAACGATTGTAGTGCCTGTTTGAGTTCTATTATATTTTTTTATAATTAAAATCAAACTTAAACATCAATTTTAATCAGATATTTGTAACTGTTATTTATCATTCACGCATTCAGAAAACCCATTATTCTTTTTCGTTATAATTATTTTCGAACGATAGTCAAACAAAGGATAACTTGAACACTTTGCCTCGCATTCTTGGAATTAGAACAGAGGTTTCGACCTTTTCACGTATTTATAAAATTATACACATGGTAGGTTTTGATAAAAAATGATATTATAGACAAAAATTTCAATAATTAAAACATGTTTCGAATTTAAAAGTGTAAATATTTAAAAATATATTTTATTTAACAGTACAAAAAAAAACAATTGGACGTAATAGTCGGTGATAAGAGTAGCTTGCACGGTTTGTTCATCGAAGTATGATTCATGCCTTTCGTACCATGCTTGTATCCTTTCAAGTGGAGGTAAGCCACAAAACTTGGAAAACAAAATGACAAATTTAGAGTGAGAAAAAAAAAAGGTAGAGAAAGAAAAATAAAAATAAAAGAAATGATGAAAGTTATCACAATCAATTTCATGGATATATGTGATTATAAGATCACTTTTTTAAATTTTAATAATTTTATTGAAAATCGAGTAGTGATCTCTCTGTCACATAGACATATGATTATCAACAATCGTGATAAATAATATTACTCTTTCTTCCTTTGAACTTTTTATTTTTTGTTTCTTTGGAAAATGAAGTAGAAGAATGTTTTGTTATTAGAAAATGTGATAGTACATTGAAAATGGTCGAATAATCGACTGCAAATAATAGTAGTTATCATTCTCCTCATCGTTATGCACTATGTAAAACAACTTACATGAACTCCTTGTCATCGCGTCATTACACCGACACTACATGAATTGTGTTACAAACAAAAATTAAATTACTAATAACATGTTAACATGTTGTTGGATAAGAATGGTAAAGAAATTATGATGTTTAATAAAATCAAGTGGTTTAGAAAGTGGACTAGGGACAAAATTATACTTCCAAAGCAAGAAAGTGTCATTCAAGGGTACTTGCAACCCAACCACACATTTTTCAATAAAATAATATTTTCCATCACATCAATACTTTTTTCTTCTTTTTCAACCATACATTTCTCATCATATCACTATTCAAAATCAATTCTTCCCCCAAAAATCCCTACCAAACAGGCTCTAAGTAATGGATAAGTGAATTTTACTAAATACGTGATTTGAACGATTGTAGTGCCTGTTTGAGTTCTATTATATTTTTTTATAATTAAAATCAAACTTAAACATCGATTTTAATCAGATATTTGTAACTGTTATTTATCATTCACGCATTCAGAAAACCCATTATTCTTTTTCGTTATAATTATTTTCGAACGATAGTCAAACAAAGGATAACTTAAACACTTTGCCTCAACATTCTTGGAATTAGAACAGAGGTTTCGACCTTTTCACGTATTTATAAAATTATACGCATGGTAGGTTTTGATAAAAAATGATATTATAGACAAAAATTTAAATAATTAAAACATGTTTCGAATTTAAAAGTGTAAATATTTAAAAATATATTTTATTTAACAGTACAAAAAAACAATTGGACGTAATAGTCGGTGATAAGAGTAGCTTGCACGGTTTGTTCATCGAAGTATGATTCATGCCTTTCGTACCATGCTTGTATCATTTCAAGTGGAGGTAAGCCACAAAACTTGGAAAACAAAGTGACAAATTTAGAGTGAGAAAAAAAAAGGTTGAGATAGAAAAATAAAAATAAAAGAAATGATGAAAGTTATCACAATCAATTTCATGGATCTATGTGATTATAAGATCACTTTTTAAAAATTTAATAATTTTTTTGAAAATCGAGTAGTGATATCTCTGTCACATAGACATATGATTATCAACAATCGTGATAAATAATATTACTCTTTCTTCCTTTAAACTTTTTATTTTTTGTTTCTTTGAAAAATGAAGTAGAAGGATGTTTTGTTATTAGAAAATGTGATAGTACATTGAAAACGGTCGAATAATCGACTGCAAATAATAGTAGTTATCATACTCCTCATCGTTATGCACTATGTAAAACAACTCACATGAACTCTTTGTCATCGCGTCACTACACCGACACTACATGAATTGTGTTACAAACAAAAATCAAATTACTAATAACATGTTAACATGTTGTTGGATAAGAATGGTAAAGAAATTATGATGTTTATTAAAATCAAGTGGTTCAGAAAGTGAACTAGGGACAAAATTATACTTCCAAAGCAAGAAAGAGTCATTCAAGGGTACTTGCAACCCATTGGGAGTTTCTTTACCCTACTTTTGGTACAAGTTTAATGATCCATTGTTTCCTTCCATTCATCAATTTAAAAAGTTATTTAAGAAATTTGTTGACTGACCAATTACTATCTTACATTTTTACTTATTTTCTTCTTTATTTTTGTACGATGTTGTCCAATTCAGCATACCAAATATAAACATTACTTTTAATACAAAAACGTTTAAATTTCCTAATGGTTTTGGAAGTTATTTGTTTCGTGCCAAATTATATACATTCTTTTTTATTTTTCTTTTTGCATTTACTCGTATGACTATGCTTATTTGTAACCCTAATAGGGCATGGTGCAAATAAAAGTGCATAGTGCCATGAGCCTAAGGATCGTATACAAGTAACGACCACGAGTGATCATTTGCAATCGAGACACACAGAAGCCATGTCAAGAAAACTTGACAAAGACGCAATAATCTGAATGTTGAAATCTCGATGACTTGTACCCCGTAAATAACTAAATATATCGATATTGCAAATGCAACACACATGCATTCCAACAATTTCATCAATAAACTAAATAGAGTTAAACACACAACCAATCACGAATAAAATTCAAGATGAAAAGGTTAAATTAAGTAGAATTTGAAGTTCTACGCGAATAAAGAAAGATGGGTCGTTACACAATATTATCTACCAATAAACAACTGTATTTATGGATGGCAAAATCAGAAGCAAAGATTCAAATTTAAGATGTAGATGCAAATTTTTCCCATAAAAAGATGAACATAAATTGGCAAGGCAATAAAAGAAGTCAAAAGGTGAAGCTTAAGAAGAGAAAGGGGACTATATGGGATAATGGGAATATGAAAACAAAAAAGGTGCAATTGCAGGCAAGCACGTTTTCATGCACCAGTTTTTCTCTTGCCTTTTCACTTTGCAACCAATAAAATTTATTTAAAAAAAAAAAACTATCACCAAATTGAGACAAAAATATTTTATGGGTTTAGTTGGATTATTGGTGTTGGAACACCAGAAGAGGAATACTCTACATAGGATTCTGATGTCTGACAATGGGCAACTTTAATTAATTAATACTTAATCATTTGTGCAATAAAAACACCCACATGATTATCTAATTAATTAATCAGAATAAAGAAAAGTACTAACCTGTAAACATTACAATTGCAGAATACAACAGAATCTTTTCAATTAAAATTTTGTTTAGGGCATGTTTGGTTAGGTTTAAAATTTAATTAAAAATGAAAATATAAACGTTATTGGGTCTCACTCGTCTAATAAAAATCAACAATAACGACTAGTTTTTTAATTTTAACTTCTACCGAACACGTCCTTTCATATTCTCATATTTCTGACGATTGTTTTTATTCTCTTAATCTTTGAAGAAACATAACAATCTAACAAATGATAGGTTCCATCTTAATACAAAATGACAAATATAATCCAAGTTTAAAATTACAAACAAGTTATCTAATAAAATCATTCACCAACACGCATATTAGTAGTTAAATTTAGAAAACAATGAAAGATCATAACATGAGATTTTGATATGCTGGCTTTTCTTTTTAAATCAAATATATAAAAAAAGATTTATTTAATTGTAATATTTTTTTTTTGATAACCGTGGATGTTCGGGCCAGTTTGCACGCATCTCGACTAATTCCACGGGGCCCTGAAGTTTACGGCCGGGTACTCACCTCAGTGGTCTTGAGGGGATTCGAACGGTGGCCATTGGGGAGCAAACTCAAGGTTTGACCAATTGAGCAACCCCTCAAGGTTATTTAATTGTAATATATAATAGAGGATAAAATTATAATATTCTACTATACTCGTAAATTATATCTTCTCATGATGCATAATGGCGTTACATCATTTGTCAATATATCAAATCGTAGTATTTTCTTGCACTTCATAAGCATCGTATTAGGTGATATGTCATTTGACATATTGACGTCTCATTTCAAGAAATATCACCTTCAAAAGAAAAGAAAAACTAAATCCTTCGCGTGATAAAGGGAGGAATGATTGGTTCGATAGTTGTAAATAGTATTATTTGCGGTAATTATAATTATCGAAGAAAATAAGAATAAGAACAAAGAAATGGGATCACGTCTCATGCTCCCATTTTTATATATGGATTTATTAAAATTTCAAAAAAAAAAAAAAAAGATAGCTCAACATATAGCTTTATCTCCTAGATCAACAATTAATTTGTCAAAAAAATTTAAACAAAATAACACAACAAATTTAAGTTTTTTTTTTTTTTTTCAAAAATTAAAACAACATATGGTGATGTAGTTCATTAATAACATAAAGTATAAAAGTACAAACTTATAAGGGCTAGGCCAAGCCTCCAAATAAAGAGGAAATAAGTAGAATTTACCTCACTCAAAGACGGAAAGTACAAGACTAAAAGACAGAGAAAAATTGTATCTCGTATAACTTAATCCCTGCTCGAATTCATGCTCTTGTTATATACTTGTAAGAGTCTTCGTCTGAATCAAAATTACTAGTAAAGGAAAAGCGTTCAGATTCATTAAATCGAACAAAAAAATTTCCAATGTCATCGATCTCCTCGTATACATGCTAGAAGCATCTTTATGTAGTTTCTAAGTTGATGATATAAAGTTTGAGAATTTGGGTTAAACTCATATGCTACCAATTGTGCTTATGTTACCTCAATGCTTGAACGAATCACAATTGAACTTTCTTGGTTGATTGAAGAGGAAATAGTTTCCTTGATCGTAGATTTTTTGTTTCCACCTAAATTACCAGTCATAGATCCTCAACCGCGTCTCCAAATTTTGGCCCCACTTTGACCCGATGGCTCTTGAAATGGTATTCGTCTCGAAATTTTTTATTTTATACAACAAATTTAAGGTTATTAATTCATTCATCCAACTTTACCTTATGGACAAAAACTACTCATTTAATGTTGAACAAGTGCGAATTCACACATTCTGAGATTGCTCATTACTTTGGTTGCACTATAGATAAAATTGTCAAATTGAATGACTAAAAATGAGATAAATTATAGTCGGGTGATCATATGAAAAAAAACGTGTAAATTAAGTGACCTCTATGAAAATTTAATGATACATGCAGCCTATAGTGGGACGCCACGTCGCCCCCGTGTGCCCTGTTCAACAAGAATAATCCAAATACAACTTGCACATAATCTAATCAACTAGTTTCGATCAAATCAAGCAAATCCGTGTGCCATTGTCCTTAACCATAGTGATAGATTGGTAGTTAATATCTTCCAAAATAATCTTTCATTTTATTGAACAATGCACAAATAGTTTCTTGATTTTGATTGTATAGTTGTTAAATTCTCGACTTCACAAAAACCCTCTTCCCGTGGGTCGTGATGAATCTTTTACCACACGTTTGAGTAGCGGTTTTTCTCGCCAGTCTTGATCTGATACTAGAGCTCAACATTTACAGACATCGTGGGCGTTGGATATGGGCCATAGCGGT